TATATTATAACGGTGGACAAATGTGTATTGGAAGTGCTAGTAAAAACCGAGCAACACGGTTTGGGGCAAGTTAGAGGCGGGACCAAAATTTTATCTTTGGAAACGGGCTCGGGCTGGGGCATGTCATTTAGCAAGACGAATTGGGCCGGTTCAAATTGATTAGTGACAAGTAGACCCAAATAATTTTTTCTGTTCTAATACTTTAATAGAATTAAGAACTACGGAGTACGGAGTATATATAACTGTTGATGATGTAAATTACCACGCAAATACTAAGTATGAGGAATCGGAAGGGTTGTAGGTGGAAACACCTGTAACCCGGCTTGTTATTAATGATAGTTGGGACTATTACAATTAGTACAGGCCGTATGGATTAATTAAAGCATACCTCACAAATGAGGTTTTTAGGAATATTTATAATAATCCTAAGCACGTCTCTGATTATCCAACCGGCCAGCCGACTGGCCGGTCAACCAGGCGTGCTTCTTAAAAATAGATCTCTAGTTATCGGCGCCCGGCCCTCCCCTCCAACCGATCAAATAACCCGGGCTGAGAAGGGTGCGTCCTGTCACTTCCATCACCACCTAGTTGGGTGAACCAACCGGTTGGCATCCATGGGTTATTACCCATCAAGGAGTCCTCCGATTCCCGATCCTGTGGGGACCATCAGGAGTGGGAAGCATTTGCGATCATCTCTTGAAATTTGAACTGCCCAGTCGCTTTTTGGCGGGAAAATCGTCTCGGAAAACCAGCGCCAACCCAAAATATTTGAAATTTGAATTTTCAAAAACCGGGTGTCCAAGGCGGGAGAATCTTCTCGAAGTCGGGTACGGAGCCGCCGATTTATTGTGCCGTTTCGTCTTCCCGAGAGGTTATGATGACAAATCATTTCAGCTGCCACGTGTCGTTTTGCCACTCGTCCGTCTGGGCGGCATCTCTCCTATATAAAGCGAGGTTCTCTCTAGAATTTTCTCACTTGCAATTCTTCAATAAAAAATCTGCCCGGTTGCTACCGCTGTTTCCTAGTCCTCCGAGTCTTCTAATCGCTTCCAAGTAAGTCTTTTCTTCCCTTTTCTGAGTCATGTCTGACCGCGAGGATAGCCAGAACCCTTCTGTTCACTCTTACGGTCAACATGTTAAATTTATTTTATATAAAAATTTGTATAGAAATAAGAATACAACTTACATTGTATTTAAAAACTATATAAAAAAATCACAAAATAAGTGATAACATCTTTATGTTATTCTATCGAATGATCGATGAAAATATATACACAAACAAAAATTGTGGGGTAAATTTCACCAATGGTACCTGAACTTTAGCTGGAATTTCGAAGTGGTACCTGAACTTCAAATCCTTTCACAAAAATCCCTGAACTTACACAATCCTTTCACTAATGAGCCATTAGCCCGTTTCTAGGTTAACTTCCGGTCATTAGGGCCAAATTCGAATTTTATATATTTTAAAATTTTCAATTTGATCCCATTTCTTCTTTTCTTTTCTTACAGGCCCCGCCGCCGCCGCCTGCCGGTCAAAGTCGCCGGAAAATGAACTTTTTCCGATTCCGGCAGGACCAATGTCATTCTCTTCGTCTTGAGACGAGGATCAATAATATCCAAACCATTTTGTCTAATTTT